CCCACATCCAGACATTTGCCCCCACCCCCGCATCCCATCGGTTTAGGTGGGAGTGAGTGTTCTCAACGCGCTAGCGCGGCCAGTTTGCCGCACCTTGCGCGTGTACCGCCAATCATGCCTCCAATATATTGACCTTGAGAAATCGCACGCGGCGTGTGTGTGTCCCCCCCTTGCCCCGTCTTATGTGCGCGCATTACCGGGCTTCGCCGGCTCGGGTGCGGCACGCATGCACATATATCTCGAGGGTCGCCAATGGACAAGCGAATGGACATGGACACATGTCCTGATCACACAGGACAGCGGGGGTGTATTCTCAGCAGGCGTGAAAGAGGAACAGCGATCGAGACAGGGGGGGGGGGGGGGACGAAAGACATGGAAGAATGCATCGTGTTTTGTGGAAAGACCAAGCGCTCTCACATGGAGATCGGCAGATCGGGCTGGACGATCTCAATGGCATAACCGTCCGGGTCGTGGATGAAAGCCACACCCTTGATCATGCCGTCATCCGGGCGCTTGGTGAACTTCACCTTGTGGTCGTCAAAGTGCTTGCAGGCAGCAGTCAGGTCGGGCACCGACAGGCAGAGGTGGCCTGAAGAGGCGGACCCAGCCAGGAGGGGGGAGGGGCGAGGGGACGAAGGGCGGCAGTGGGGTGGCAGGAGAGGGTCAATGGCCTATCGGGGTCGGGGAGGGGGGACAATTCAGAGGGAAGGGAAGAAGGAAAGCGAAGGACCCTCCACGCGCGGGCACATCCACCGAGTGAAGGAGGGGGAGGCGGGGAGGGGCTGGCAAGGAAAGGTACGCACCAAAGCCGCGAGGCTCGGAGTTGCCACCATGGTAGCCCTTGAAGGACTCGTCGGACTCGGTGCCCCAGTTGCTGAATCCCGGAGTTAGGCCAATGGTGGGAAGATCCTGTGCAGAGGCATGAAAAATGCGAGGGCCGGGAGGGGGAAGGGGGAGATCGACGTACTGGCACAGCTCCACGAGAGCCAGGCGCCCGAACAGGAGCTTGAGCTTCTCCGGGGAGTTGTTCTCGGCCGCGCCGAAGCTCTGGTAAAGCTCGTACTCCTCATCCGTCACATGGCCCATGAAGTAGTTGGTGAACTTGGCCATCTCGACATCCATCTTGTAAAGAAGGCTACAACCGAGCAGTGTTCCGGTAGAGAGAGAGAGAGAGCGGGAGAGAGCGGGAGAGAGCGGGAGAGAGCGGGAGAGAGCGGGAGAGAGCGGGAGAGAGGGCGCAAGATACATCGGGGTCAGACCTTGTCGCCCGATGCAGAGGATGAGGCTGGGGGGGCACAGGACAGGCGTAGGGCGGCAGGAGGGAATGGACTGATGACGAGAGAAGGGCTGGTGACGCACCGCATGCCAAGAACCTCCTGGTAGAACTTCAGGGAGGGCTCCGGGTCGCGGACGCGGATCATGACTAGCGAGTGCAAAGGGGAGGGCAAATCGACGGACGAAAAAACAGTCAGAGTGGGCTCCAGGCGATGGCATCACATGCGGGATCGCCGCCGGCACAGAGGCGGCGAAGGGGAAACGCACCATGGTTGAGCTTGAAGCCAGAGGTAGCAGACATGGTGAGTAGTAGGGGAGGGGGGATATGACAACCGCAACGAGGGCCGACAGGGAGGGGACAGGAGGAGACGAAAGCACACAGCAAGATGGAGGGCTCTGGCAAAATGACCGGGAGAAGTTGCATGTCGAGCGCCTCCTTATATCCCGGCGCCCGGCAGATCTCGCCGAGGCGTGACTGATGGCGCAGCCCCCGCCCCCCGTCCCCCGTTCCCTGTCCCGCGGCATCAGACCCCACCATCGTGGGATTACGCCGAACCACACCGCAGGGGGCCCACCACCCCAGATGGCCGGGTGTGTCACCGCCGTGGGCACCCCGCTTAGTCTCCCACCCCCCCCGCCCCCTGCCCGATCAGCCACGAACCACCTAGAACGCCCAGCACAGAGAACGATGGGGTGGTCATGTGGTTTGTTTGGGATCACGCCGGTCTCTTGGTAAGAGACTCCTGTCACGCACTCACGGGACCATGCATGTGGGGACGCCATGCCAGCCCGGGCGAGGAAGAGCGCCGATCGGAATCAAACCCCGCCGTCGCCGCCGCCGCCGCCGCCAGTAAGCACCACATCCACGATGTCCTCGTCCTCGATGTCCAGCGAGGCGGGGGTCTCCTCCGGGGAGAGTACCTCCCCATCAAAGCGCAGGGATATCCCCTGGGCGTGGGGGAAATCCACCTCAAGGAGTTGAGAGATCAGATCGGCGACCGTGGCATTCTGGGAGGATAGGCGTGTGTGTGTGTGTGCGCGACGTGGGGCGCATGGGCAAATGACGATGTCAGTGTCCTGCCTGTGCTGGCGCATGCGAATAAAGGATCACAGAGGGGCGGGGCCGAGGGAACATGGGGGGGGGAGGAAGTCACACGTACTCGTGACACGCGCTTGGTGATGGAGGCCCGAGTGGCGGAGTTGAAGCGCAAGAGGACGGTCTCCTCCTCGGCAAAGGCCGTCAAGCTCAAGAGATCATCCAACAGGGGCGACGGCCCGGTGGCCGAGTGATCAGCAGCCTGCCCGGCAGACGATGGAGAGGATGCCGAGCCCGGGGCCATCCCCCCGGGCTTCGGGGACAGGTCGCCGCCCATGGGCTCCAGGGCCAGGGGCGACTGGCTATCCGCGGCATCGGCCTCCTCGTCGGATGTCAACAGGTTGACAATCGACTCGGCCCAGGCCAGGGAAAACATGCCGGTCTCCGGGACGGCCGGCGGCTCGGGCAACGGGCCCCGAGGACCGGGCGAAGCCCCGTGCTTCGTGTCGGGGGATGTCTGCCCATCGGGAGCTTCGAAGGCGCTCTTGCCCTCGGCCGATGAGGGGTTGGTCAGCTGGACGATGGCCGGCAGATCGGACTGCTGGCCGCGCAATGCCTCGGCCGTGGGCCAGTAGGGGTATGGAGCGACCAGCAGCTCCACGGGCGAAGGCAGCCCCGGCTGGCTGGGGTCCGGGATCATGCCGATCATAAAGGGATACATGCTGGGGTTGAGCCGGCGCCCGCGCCAGAAAAAGTAAAGACCGCCGATGGCCGACCGGTCGAGCTTCGGGCCCGGCCCATCCGGGCTGCCCGGGTCCGTGACGCGCTGTGGCAGGAGCGACAGATCCAGATCGGCCGACAGGCCCAGGGGTGTTTGCCCGCACGCGCGCCCGTACGCCGCGAAGGGCAGCGACAGAGGCTCGACAGTCGACCCGTCGACCGTGCGCACCGGCAGCGTCGGCGCCGGGGGGACCTTCCCGCGGAACGGCTCCAGCAGCGGGGCCAGCGGGGCCGGGGCGATGTTGATGATCAGGCGCCGACCGCGCAGGCGCATGGTCTCGGTGCCGGTGGACGAGAAGACCGACGAGGAGGCGCCGCTGTCGCCGCCACTCGAACCGAGGTATCGCTCGGACGTGGCACGCAGCTTGGCCACGGACTCCTGCAGGGTGGGCTGCCGGCCGGCGTACCGGTGGCTGCTGTAATTCGAGGGGTGATACTCGTCGCTCGGGCTGGGAGACCGCCGACGACGGGAGCGGGTCGATGAAATCGCCGGAGGTGCTGCCTCGGCCCCGGCCGGCATGGGGGCTGCCGCGGCCGCGCTCGCATGCCGGGACCCGGGGCGGCGGAGCCGGGCTGTGGCCACCTGACGCCGGTCCCCCTCCTCATCGGAGGAGGAATCGACGAGATCGATGACATCGGGCCCGGCCATGTTGGCGAGACGGAGGCACTCCGGCTCGGGGAGGGCGCGCGCGCGCGCGGGAGGGCGAGGGACCGTGGCGAGAGCCTTCGAGACGCCGGTGGGGGGGGGGGCAGAGGGGGGCGGGGGAATGGCAGGCGAAAGAAAAGGAAGGAGGAGAGCACGAGCAAGGGAGGGGGGGGGGAGGTGGGGGCAGGAATCAAACTGCCCGGGCCCTTGGGCGCGCCGGGTGCGGGCTGGTGACCGAAAAAAAGGGCGCCCGCCGGTTGGCGCGCATGCGCTGGCACCTCTCCTTCCGGTGGGAGTGCCTGGTGGTGGAAATAAAAACAGCTCCCTGAAAGGGCAGGGGCACCTGGGCGCGATATTTTTATATTACCGACAATATTGAGCGCGCATGCGCCTTCGCACACGCTTTCATGTCTCGGGTCAAGGACCTCACTGAAGGACTTGTTTCCCCCCCCCCCCCCTTGGGGCCCTCCAGGGGCTTTCGGCGCAACAGACTGACCCCGGCCCGGGAGGAGCGCCGCAAGCAGGGGCAGATTCTGCCGAGGAATGCGTCCGCCTTGCCCCCCCCCCCCCCCCCCCCCCCCCCCGGCCCCCAGGCCCGTGGCCAGGGCGGGACCGCGTCAGCCGGCCCCCCCTCCGGGCGAGGGCTGCGATCGATCTTGAGGGGGGGATCAACCCGACCCTTCGTGGGGGCTTTTTCGGCCGGCGCAGGACCGGCGCCCCTGCGGCCCGGGGCGGCGACATCCCGCTCCTCCCCTTCCGCGATTGATACACTTCGCTCCCCCTTTCCCTTTCCCCGTCTTTCTCCGCCCTCCTCCCTTCGACGCATCATCATGTCCTGGGGCTCTGAACTCTGGGTGCGTGGTTCCCCCCTCCTCCGGGAAATGGCCGGATGCCCGCCTGCATGTGCCATCTCTGTGGTTCCCCGCCGCACTCAGCACAGCGCTGCTGCTGTGGACCTGTTCTTCCTTCTCTTCCTCTCTCTCTCTCTCTCCCGTCTTTCTGGCCCTGACGCCTGTTCTCCCTGCCACACGCAAAACAGGACAAGTTCCGCGAGCTGGACCAGGTGACCAAGGAGAACTCCGACTCGGTCAGCAGCTTCGTGGACTTCCTCCGGAAGAAGGCTGCCCTGGACCTGGAATACTCGCGCGGTCTGCAGAAGCTGACCAAGGCCACCCTATCGATGGGCGTCTTCTGCGGGGAGGCTGTAACCATGACGCCCGGGTCCTCCGGCGGCTCGAGCTCCTTCGGGTCTTTCGGCCTTGGGCAGTCATCGAGCTCCGGATCGACCAACCCCAAGTCGCGCATCACTTCGCGCATTGACGAATTCCGCAGCACGACGTGCGTATTTGGGTGCATCTGCATGTGCACACCCACCCACATGCACGATGCATGCCGTCGGCTCCACTCACAAGCTCCCTGACTGACATGCGCCCTGTCTCCAATGGTCCCGCGCTCGGTTAGCTCCCTGTCGACCGCGCTGCGGTCCATGCTGCAGGAGACCTACGAGGCGGCCACCTGCATCGAAAGCCACTCGATCACGCTCAATGACGAGGCTGCCGACCTGAGCGCCAAGCTCCTGAAGGATATTGAGGCCCAGCGCAAGTCGGTGCGTTTGTCCCTCCCCCCCTCCCCCCTCGGTGTTGCTGGTCACATCTCGCCCTATTTTTCTCCTGCGCTCAGACTGACTCCTCACCCCATGTGTCTTGCCTCCGGCCTGTTGCAGATCAACAATGAGTATGACTCCAAGAAGACTGAGCTTCAGAAGAACATCAAGCAGCTGGAAACCTACCAGAAGAACTACCACTCGGTGGCCAAGGAGGCTGACCGCGCACTCGCTGCCTTCGAAAAGGTGGAAAAGGACCTGAAGTCTTCGAAGTCCGAGCTGGAGAAGGTTCGCCGCCGGTGCCATCTCACCGTCCACACTTGCGTTCCCCTGCTGTGGCCGCTCACCCCCCTTCTCTTTGCTTCCCTTCTCGTCTTCTCTGCGCTCTTTTGCCGGCCATCCCTCCCCTCTCCCTGGCCCTTTGTCTTCCTCGGCTCCTGCCTCGGTGCAGGCTACCGCGGCCTACCGTGCTCAAACGGAGAAGCTTCGAAATGCCGAGGAGTCGTACGCCTTCATCCTGGAGAAGACCAACCAGCACCAGACCCGACACTACCGCGAGGAGATCCCCAACATCATCAACAGCATCCAGCAGCTGGAGATCGACCGGATCCTGCGCCTGCGCGAGGCCATCCTCCTCTACTCGGATTCGTATCTGCTCCAGGCACCGAAGATCGTCACTGCCTTCGAGAATATTGCCCTGCTGGCCGGGTCCATCGACGCGGCATCCGATTGCCAGGTACGCCACCGGGGCCCACCTCCGGCCCCCCCGTGTGAACCGGCCTTAGTGTCTTCGGTCCTCTCCGCCTCCTGACTGTGGTGAGCTTTCGCCCTTTGTCTGCCCCCCTCTCCGCCTCTGCCCTCCTCCGGTGCAGATCTATATCGACGCCTTCGCCTCGGGCGGCGCATACCCGCCGGACATGGTGTTCGTGCCGCACCGCGTGGGCGCCCCCACGCCGGACTCCTTTGTGGCCTTCTCCTCGATCGGTGCCGATCGCCTGGGCCCCGACGCGGCTCCCGGCTCCGGCGGGCCCTCCGGCACGGCGGCATGCTCTTCGACGGCCGACTTGACCCCGGCCACCAAGCGCTGGATCGACTTCGCCGACCATCCCCTTTGGATGGACCCGGCCTCCGGGATCGTCACGCCGGAGGAGCAGGCCGACATCTTGCGTGATGAGGTGGCCCGCACGCACTTGGAACTGATCTCGCTGGAGAAGGCCCGCTGGGCCCTGCTTGACCTGCTGGTCGAGTCGTCAAAGCGGGTGCGTGCTGCTATTCCCACCGTCCCTGGAGGGCGTTCGCCGGGGGTTCGCCACTGGCCCAGGTCCCGCGGAGGGCGTCCACCGGGCTCCTGTTCTTTGGGTCTACTTTCTCCCTCCTTCGCCCTTTCCCTCTGCCCCCCCCCCCCCCCCCCGGCCGTGCCATGTTTTGACACTCAGCCTCCACTCCCCCCCTCTTCCACATACGCGCATACGCCCCTACACCCAGGGCGACCCCTCTCCCTCGGTGCCGGTGCCCAATTCACATGGCACCCAGTTGCTCTCCTCGCGTCTGGAGGACATTGAGGAGCAAATTGACTCCTTCACCACGGAGCTCTACCGGTGCCAGTGCTTCTTGGCGGCGCTGGCTGGGACCCGGCCGCCGGATGGTCCCATGAGCCCGGAGGAGCGCCGGCAGCTGACGCTGGCCTCATCGCAGCACCACCTTCCGGCGGCCTCGGTCCATGGGCCAGGCACCAGCGACGCGTACCTTCACTCGGCTGCCGCCCACAAGACGGCGGTCATGGGGTCCGGATTGCGGGGGCTCCAGGGCACCGGCAACCGGGGCTACATGACGATCGCCACGCACTCGACGTCGGGGCAGGCCGGGGCCATGCACCGGGGGGCCACCACCGGCGGCGGCTACACCGCGGGCGGCCTTGCCGGAGGCGGGGGCCCTGCGCGCGTGGTGGTCTCGGTGGGCTTGAACTCGGGCCACGGATCTGACGGCGGGACCTCCTTCTCGCCGCCGCCCTCGCCCGGGAACACCGGGGCCTCCTCGCACCACAAGCACTCGAATTCCGGCGGGCCGCTGCGCGACGTGCTGACCGACCTGCACACCCTCACCCCGGCGGTCCGGGCATATGGTGCGTATCCCAGCCCCCCCCCCCCCCCCCACGTGGCCATGTTGTTCCCCTTCCCTTGGCTGGGGCTGTTGCTGACTGCCATTCCCACCTGGCTTCCCCCTCCTTTGCGGGATGCCCCACAGCTGTCATGAGTTGTGACTTTGTGTTGCCCAACTCGGGCCACAGCTTGTCCGCGGGCTCCGTCTTGGAAATTGTCAGCCTGTTGGATGAGAGCGGGGCCGAGCTGCCGGTCGAGCTGCCGAACTTTGATGTGGCTGCCACCTTCCTGGTGCGCACTGGCTTCCCGGAGAGTTCGGTCGTGCATCAGATCCCGGCGTCGGTGGTCCACTGTGTGTGAGGGGATCGCCCCTTCGCGTGCGCCGTCCTGTGCCTCGCCCTCTCTCTCTCTCTCTCTCGTCCCCTCTCCCCTTTGTATTTCCCTGCCCCCTTGCTCCTTTCTCCCCTCCCTGCTTTTCTCTCTCTCTCTCTCTCTCTCTCCTCGCTTTCTGGCTCATGTGCTTGAAAAACCGGTGTCTTTCCAGCCTTCTGTTCGGTCGCTTTTCGCACCAGGCGCGGCGTCGGCCTACCGCGTGTATTCCCCCGCTCTCGGGTCGCCTGCCCCTGCCCGGTTGCATGCGCGCCCCCGCGCGCAGGGGGGGGGGGGGGGGGGGGGAGGGGGACGGACCGGCATCTAGCTACAGCAGATGGTCAAAAGCGAGGCCGGGTAGGTCCCATCGGGCCCGGGCGCGGGAATGTGCATGGTATAGGGAGCTGGGCGCATTGGCAGGGCCGGAGGGATCCACATCAGTGTGGCTGTGTAAGAGTGGGGCAAAGAGAAGGAGGAAGGAGGCCCTGATGGGCCCCCTTGCCACATCGGCGGTGGCGTGGGTTCTCGTGGCGGATGAATCGGGCGCACCACTGGATCCGGGTCGCCAGAAGTCCAGGCAGTTTCGGAATATCCCCCTATCGAAGGGCAGCACGCCATCTGGCACGGCCTTCATGTATGGCACGCGCTCTGGGGGGGGGGGGAGGGGGACATGCGACGGGAGGAGAAGCACCACCACGCCATGGGGCCGATCGTCAGTAGGAGGGTGGAAAAGGAAAGAAGGAGAGCAGGCAGAGGGGGCCCAGGAACAGGTGGCAAGCACGCACGCGACGCATGCTCCCAGGTTGTCTGCGCCGTGGCGGCCAGGAAGAGATGGAAGAAAAATAGCCCAGACACCAGGACCCCGAAGACCAAGACCAGTCCGAATAGGGCCAGGGTCAGGTAGTTGGAAAGGACCCAGGCCATGGCGTAACTGGGCCCGGCCAGGTCCTCCACACGGAAGAGGCGTCGCAAGACCAGCCGGCCGAACGACCCGGGCGGCTGGAGCATCGCCGCCAAGAAGGGCAACAACTGCAGGAGCATGGTCCCTAGCAGAGCGCAGAAGATCAAGAAACTCGGGTGATTGGCCTGGCCCACGCAGTTGCCGATGAAGGAGCAGTGGTGATCGAAGCGCCGGACGCAGCGCCGGCAAGACCGGCAGTGCCGGGCGCGCAGGGGCATCGGCGACTGGCAGGGCTCACAAAAAGAGACATCCAGGGCCGGAGCCAAGCCCGAGACCACATGGGCCGGGAGCAGGGGCGATGCCCCGGCTGGGGAGGCCCGGTGCCGGGCCATCCGATTGGCCCGGAGCCAGACCTTCAGTCGGACCGGCAGCAGGCGCCGGACCCGGCGGGCGAGCCATTGGCCAGCCGCAACCAGCGGCCGCGCGAATACCCAGCCCGATCGAGCCACGGATGGGGGCCCGTCCGGGGCCCTGGAGGGGGGGGCTTTGGCCAGGAGCACCTCCGGACCGGGGGCCGTGAATCCCGGATCGGAGTGAAGCAGCACGAAGTAGTGCCCCGCGCAGAGGCCCATGTGCAAATGCAGGTACATCGTGTAGGTGGAGCCTCGGTCGAAGAAGGAGGACCCGCAGTAAAAGGCATACAGGAGCCCGAGGAGGTGGGCCGCCACGTAGAAAGTGGCCGCGGCGGCCGGATTATGCACCAGCTTCTCGCCAGTGATCTCCAGCTCCTCCGTGGCCAGGGGATCCTCCCTGGCTGGCGGTGAGCCCGGCCGGCGGGCATAAAACTGCCTCAGGGTATCCTGGTATTGGGAGTGGATTTGCCGCTCGGCATCGGGAGAGATCATGTCCGGGTGCGGCCCCGAAGAAAGCCTGCGGGGGGTGTGGTGGGGGCCCTTTTTCCGTCTTCCGTTGCTGTTGTTGCTTTGCTGTTGTTGCTGTTGTTGCTGTTCAGAAGAGGGATAGGAGGGATGCGCTGCACGTCCGGTTGCGATGGCTCATGTTGGCGCCCGTCCTGAGGGCCGAGAAGCGAGCAGGGTAGACGGAGGGACAGAGAGATAAGGGGGAGTGGGGGCGACGGATGGCAGATGCGCGGGCGGTGGTGACGGGACGGGAGGGTGCGGGCTTGAATGGGTGAGCTCCCTTGCGTCCGGGCGAGGTGCCTTTCGGAGCGGCGCCCCCTCGGGGTTGGTCGCCCCTCCCCCCAAGGCCCAGGGAAGCCCCACGACTTCACGATGCCCATGGGAGGCGACTACTCTCTGGGGGGGGGGGGGGGGGGGGGGGATCGACGGGCCTCCTTGTGGCTCGGGGGGATTCCCCTGCGGGATCTTCACGCAGATCTCGCTCACGGCGGGAGACCGGCCGGGAGGCCGGGGGACGGCGGCCGGCAGGGCCCCGTCCTTGGGCTGGCAGCTGGCCGGGCTGGGCGATCGATTCCGTTGGAATGTGTGCATTTCCGGGGCGCCGCGAAAAGAATGCAGAAATTACGTGTGGGCGGGCGCAAATACGGATGTCAAATGGCGTTACATGCTCCTAAAGGAGCATCGCGTCTTGAGGGTTGTTCACGAGGGTTTCTCTCAGGGGCGGCTGGGGAGCCTTGTCCTGCCCCGCGCCCAGTGTGTCCGTGCCCTCCCCACTCCTTTTGTCCACCTCCCGGGACATCGACCGGGTGGCAGAGGCCCGAGGCAAGTCAACCACCGTGTGAGCGGCCCCTCCGTCTTTGGTCCCCGTCGTGCGTGGCAGCTGGGGATGGTGGGGGCGGGGGGGGGGAGGGGGGGGGGGGGGGGGGATGTGTCATCAGCCAGTCCAGCCCTCGGACCGGTGGCATGGGTGGGGAGCTCTCCGTGCCGGCGCACGCGCTGCCCACCCCGTGCCTGTTAGAGGCGCGCCCCGTTGCCCCCTTGTCGGCCGTTGCGTCGCGTGGGTGTGGTGGGGCCTTCCGCCGGCCGCCGGCTCGCGGCCCTCTTCCCGGTCCCCCCCCCCGGTGGCGTTTTCCCCAAATGCGCAAGTGGGAATGAATCTCGCTGTGGGGAGGCACACGTGTGGGGTGTGTGGGTGTGCCCGCGGCGGGCGTCCCGCGTTTCGAGCGCCGCCAGCTGCCTGGGGATGCCCGGCGCAAGGGTGCCCTCTGTATTGGTCACCGGCCGGGGGGGGGGGGGGGGGGAGCGGGAAAAATGGTTGGCTTTTCATGTGCGTCTGGGCCTGGTGTGGATCTCCAACCATGCGGACTTTGCCACCCTGGGCTGGGACGAGCACGAGAGGGGCGCAGGGACACACGGGCCGAGGGGATGTGCGAATTTTTCGGCGGCCAGTCGCCTTGTCAGCCTCCCCCGCTGGCCCTGCATCCCCCCCCTCGAGAGATTTGTTGCCACCCCCACAAACACTCTCCCCCCCCTTCTTTGTACCTCTCCCCCCTGTCCTTTCTTTGTTGACCCGCTCGCCCTTGCCCCCCCCCCCCCCCCCGTGCCTTCTTCTGTCTCCCTTGCCACATGACTCCTTTGCTGCCGCTGCTGCTCTTTTTGCGCCTCCCCCTGCTATGCATCTTTCCCTTCCCGCCCCATCTGTCACTTGCGGTGGTCCTGCCCCTCCCTTTCTGCATGACTGATGGCCATCCTCCTTTATCTTTTCCCCCGTTCCGCCCTCCCCCGTCCTTGTTTCGAAGACCATGAGCTCCGAGGACCTTGCTTCTATCCAGGCTGTGGCCGACGCCCCCGTTGTCCAGGACATCGCCTCCGATTCGGAGGAGGCCATTGTCGAGACTGTTTCCGAGACCACCGAGGTCGCCGAGGAGGTTGCCGAGGAGGCCGCCGAGGAGGTTGCCGAGGAG